GTTTTCCTTTGCTAAAGTACGGAAACTTTGCTTCCTTTGCTCCTGTTAACAAACGTTGGTTTTCACGAGCCTCACCGGCGCATGCACAACACTGAACTCATACGTCATCCGCCCGGAGCTGCTTCCGTGTACAACAGTGAGTGCAAGCTACATTAAAGTGATTATTACATTTTGAATATGGATATTTTCTTACAAAAACGCATCGATTCGCTACAGAAGGCCTTTGTTCACCCACCGGAGCCGTGAGACACTTAAAAAAAAAAATAATAATAATTTTTATGGATGGGCACATTTAAATTAAGTGCTTTTGGACTGATGCATGCAACACCCGCTGAGTGCCATTAAACAGCTTGAAAGATCAAAGACAATTTTTAATATAACCCCGACTGGATTCGTCTGAAAGAAGAAAGTCACATACACCTAGGATGACTTGAGGGCAAGTAATTTATGGGCTAATTTTCATTTTTGGGTGAACTAACCCTTTAATGACAGAATTTTCATTTCTGGGTGAACTATCCCTTTAATTAGAGGTTGACTGATTTATTATTTTTGCTGAATAAAAATGCTGTAGGAGCTATTGTAAATGAACAAATTAACGCTGAAACTAGCATTGGGGAAAATCCATTTACAGGAAGTCCTGAAAAGGTGATGTTTAAATACTGTTTGTGTTCAGACTGCAGAGTCAGTATGTCGATGACTGCATGATGTGGGATTTCATGTCGAAGCGTGAGCTGGATGCTGCTGGGGCTCCAGAGCTCCAGTCTGCGAAAGGAAAAGCTTCTGATACAGACCGCAGAGAAGAACGCTGCTGTGTCGTTTATGAAGAGGCTCTAAAGAGCCTTAATACAGGTATGATGTAACACTAGGATTCAGTGGTGGAATATGATTGGATTCTCATGGTTCTAGCTGTATGTAATTTGCCTACATATGTGTAATTTATTTTTGTAGAGGCCATGTGGACATGTTATGTCACATTCTGTCTTGAGAGATATAAGCGGAAGACAAATGTCAATGAACTCAAGGAAAAGGTAATAAACCTGTTTTTGTTTTTTTTTATTGGGGTGTTGCAGTGTTCATGATAATCTTGATCAGAATAACATGGACTTGCTGTATTTGGGAAGTTTGATTTATTATATTAAACCATATTTACTTTTTTTTTTTTTTTATCTAATTGCGATTGACACACATTGTGTGCCTGTTCACTTTTTCAGAGAAAGGAACGATTACTCCGAGTCTTACAGAGTGCTCATGATGCCAAGCTTTTGCAAGAGTCATTCTACAAGAACTGGGTAATGTTCACTCTTAACATTGGAATCTCACTGCAAAACCTCCTGCTTGCACACCTTATGCAGCACTTGGTTAAAATGGTGCTGCAGGTATAATGTAGGCCACTTTCTATCTCCTCAAAAAACAGCTACAGGTCCTGCTGTCGTCAGGGGATACAGTATCTGCTACTCAGATCGCCATTACAGCCACCCAGTGCTTCAGCCAATCAGTTGAGATGTGGAGCTTCAGCCTCCAGACATTGGTCCAGCTGGAGAGCACAGAGGCGGGACATCTATTCCAGGAAGCCCTGAAACATGTGAATCCCAAGGTAGCGGTTGTACCACAGCTGCCTCTAAGTGGGACATCTTCTAACAGCAGATTTGCCCTAATTAGTCCACTTGAACAAATGAACTACTTCTGAATGCTTTTCTTAAAAAAAATATTTTTTAATAATAATTGGATAACAGTACTATAGTTACATTTTATCCAAAGCGACTTAACATTGCTTTTAAGACATACGGTTTATCAGTAAATGCATTCCCTGAGAATTGAACTCCAGACCTTGGTGTTGCTAACATCATGCTCTACTGCTTGAGCTACAGGAATTCCTACATATAATTGTAGTTAAGTGATAAGAGTCATCCTCTGCTACTCTAACTCGGTTCTGTCCTCAGCGCTCTTTCGTAAACCAGCTAGTGAAAAATAGCCGTGTTTGCGGGATTATGAAGCCTGTAGTTACGTAACCCTGCATAGAGGCCGTTATCCAAGCACATGGGAACATAATGCTATAGAGTGATATCCGCATGCACAATTATCCGGTTTCATTTCTCATTCGTCCTTTTTATATTTGTGTTTTTCCCCCCAAACAATATGGTTCTGTCAGTTTCTTGCAAAATTAGAGATATAAAGGGAGAAAAGTGAGGGAACCCATTACTAATGAAATGTAATATAATACGATGTGGTCCAGAAAATCCTTGTAGCAGTAGTGCAAATGCTCTTATTTTCATGAATTATATTATCAGAAGTTTGAACCCAATGATATATTTAATAATCAGTCTATAATATGTTCTACAGGAAAGTCTGCCATTATGGCAGCTGCAGGCTGATTGGTGCATGACCTCACAGAGACCTGAGGACACGGAGACCTTTTTTCAGGTGGGACATGACTTAAAAATATGTTTGCACTAAAACTCATCCAAGACCAATTGATGATGGTGGATAAAAAGGCATTCAGATCATTTTTGACTTTTTTTTTTTTTTTTTTTTTTTTACTTTATTTTGAAAATTCCATAATGTTTAATTTGATTACATAAGTTTTAATTCTAATGTAGTCCACAGTGTTAATGTATATCATGTAATAAAAATTGCTCCTGATCCTGTACTTGCAGAAAGGGCTTCTGTCCCTAGTACCTGCAGTGTCATCTGCCATGAAGGAAAAATACCTTGAATGGTCCTATAAAACTGGTGGTTACAAAAGGGCTAGAAAAACGTTCACAAGGTACACATTTCCAAATCCTGAAATGTTATTTTCAGTTTTAATTTTAAATACTAGTTTTTCAATGTGGTTTTAGACTTTCGGGACTCCACTGTATATCTAGAAATTAGGCATAAGCAATTTAAAAACAACCTCTTCTCTTGGATTTCAGCTTGCATGAACACAGACCCTTCACTAAGGCATTCTTCATGAAGATGATTGAGATTGAGAAAGAGCAGGTAAAGGTGATGTAGCACCTGTCAGGTGTCTAAAATATCTAGTAACCAGCAGACATGTGTATGAACACATACAATGTATTACTGATTTGTATTATTCTCCCAGGAGACACCAAAGATGAGTAACCTGAGAGACTACTATGAGCGCGCGCTTCGTGAGTTTGGTTGCTCAGATGAAGGTGAGTCTGATTCAGTGCTTTTAGCCTTTGAAGAGGCAACTCTCTTTCATACTTTGAGTAGTATATTTCACTGATCAACCAAAATAATTTGCTGTTTTAGATCTCTGGATGGACTACATCAAGGAAGAGTTGGGAAGGCACGGAAACCCAGAGAACTGTGGGAAGCTCCACTGGAGGGCTGTTAAGACCCTGGAGGGTGAAAATGTTGAGCGTTTTACCACGCAGTACACACTTCTGCAGACCGGGCACGTGTAAAACCAGCATAAATCTTCAGTGTGTTTTCTGTATTGTTCAAATATGGACCACAAATTGGCTTCAGTGATTTCTCTTTGAAAAGCCCAATTCCTGTGTTGCAGTCTGTAAAGGGGAAAAATGAAGTTCATTTCCTGATCCTTCTGAATTTTTTCAAACATGGTGATGCATAGACATTTGTGCTTTTCTGTTGTTCCAGTAATAAACATTTTATGACATGAAATTGTCTTAATGTTAAAGAAATGCTTTACACTGTATGTTAACAGATCCTGACTTGGACCAGCACACTAAGTAAAACAAAAGTTCGATATAAACATGCAACCGTAGAGAAATGCTGAAGTAGGTAGCATCAATACGAAGTCAGAATACTCTCGACTTTTCTTTTGCATTATAAAGCTAGTCATTCATTTTGCCATCACAGTTTCCTGATCCTTCTGAATTTTTTCAAACATGGTGATGCATAGACATTTGTGCTTTTCTGTTGTTCCAGTAATAAACATTTTATGACATGAAATTGTCTTAATGTTAAAGAAATGCTTTACACTGTATGTTAACAGATCCTGACTTGCACCAGCACACTAAGTAAAACAAAAGTTCGATATAAACATGCAACCGTAGAGAAATGCTGAAGTAGGTAAGCATCAATACGAAGTCAGAATACTCTCGACTTTTCTTTTGCATTATAAAGCTAGTCATTCATTTTGCCATCACAGAACAGGTGTTTTGTTTTTATTTATTTTTTTGCCCCAGGAAAAAAACGTTTCTAAGGAAACATGGTAAAAGTAAAAATTCTAACCTATAAATCACAATGGTGCGTTAACCGATGTCACATTTTTAACATGAAATAAAAGTTTGACACTTACATGTAGTAATAGTTAATACACTGATAACATTGTCAAGTTAACTACATCAGATATCTTTAGTGATTAAGGACACTTCAAGTTCTCTATCAAGTTGTAAAAACAAGAATTTAATCGCAGTCATTGATGCCTTTCATTAACCATGGAGTTAAGAAATAAGCTGTATGAGATGTCATAGGTTAACAATAAATAAATTACATTATGCTTAGTCATTGGCAACTTGAATGTTTTGTTAGAAGTAACCAAGACACACAAGCTGACTCCACTGACAATAGCAGCAAACCGGTTGAAAAGCCTGCTGATCCAGTGGTTGTTTTGTGTTTGTTCGGCTGTCTCCAAGCTTGTGTAAAAAACTGGGGGCAGGTAGCATCTCTGAATCCTTTCGTCTGTGGTAGCCATATTTTTAATTAAGAGACACGCTTATTTTGGTTTACCAGATTACACTGAATCACATCAACTCTGATAATACAGTAGGGAAATTTCAACAGAATTAGAAACTAATAAAGTTTAGTAACCAATTAGGTGAAAGGCATGTTAAAATTCCTTTAAAATGAACTGAACATTGCTTGACATCAACATGGTTCCAAAATTTCCTCTGATGTCACTGATGTAGCCTTGCACACAAAAAATGGCTGAAATTTTGGGTCAGTGCTTCCTTAGCAGAATGTAGGTGAAGAGGGCCACAAGTCCAGCAGACAGCAGGCCAATGACACACTGGTGGATGGTTATAGCACTCTCCAGTGAGTGAATGCGTTCTTCCATGGCACTGGTGTGAATGTAGTCATAGATTGAGGCCCCGATGCTCCACACCACCCAGACTGCATCCACCAACGCCTTCATTGTGGGAGACACCATTCAGTGTGTGGCTGCCCCACAGTGTGGGATCCTCACAGCAGCCCTCACTCACCCCACCCCCACTATGGGACAGAGAATAGAATTGGTACAGCATGCCAAAAGCCTGAGGAGCAAATAGTATTGACAGAAGACAGTAAAAGCTTGACCAGCATGACCTTTTGTTATTTTTTTTGTTTTGTTTTTTTGTTTAATTATATTAGAAAACACCTGGGGCATGGTCAAATTAAAATACACTCTCAAACTAAAGTAGCAACACTGTCTGGGTATAATGTACATACTTTATACATTTAATGTTCTATGCACCCTCTATTGTAATATTTCTTAATATAATATCTTGTTTGGTTCTACAACAAATTCTACAGCATGTTAAAGGGATAGTTCTCCAAAAATTTAATTTCTGTTATCATTTAGTCACCGTCAAGATGTTCCGAAACATTTTCTTTCTTCTGCAGAACATAGAAGACATAGAAATGTCTCAGTATTTATGTATGCATTAATTAATTAAGTTTATTATTATTATTGTGTCCATACATTGGAAGTCAATGGCCACCAAACTTTTTGGTCACCAACATTCTTCTAAATATATTATTTTGTGTTCCACAATAGAAAACATGTCATACAGGTGTGGAACAATGACAAAATTGATATTTTTTTGTGAACTATACCTTTAATTTCAAGTGAAAAGCATTTCACTGCCATCGCATTGAGCATGTGACCAAAAAATGTTGAATAAACTCTAAATAAAGTTCTGCTTGAACATATGTGTGGTTGTACAGTTATGCATCACAAAAGAACAACACTGAACCGATTCCTCACACTAAACTAAGGGCACTTTATTCCTATCTACACTTTGATGATGACTCTCTGGAATGAGACCACTTAGTAAAATGTCATTAAATGAGCAATAGTTGACAACAAGCTCCTGTTTCACTCTTAGTTTTTGGAGAATTTGCATAATTATGCAATATGTATTTCCTATTATGGAACAAACAACACACAGAACAAGTGTGCAGGCATCTTCACTATCCCGTGGTGACTACAGTAATACCTTTATTATTCAAAATGGAAAATAATCAAAACAATGCAGGCGTTTGTATGAAGAATTACTCACAGGACGCTCTGGGGCTTTCATTCAAACTAAAAGAGATGCTGTTTTATATTATAACGTCTTTGCTTGTAATGATCGCGTCAAAAAGCCAACAGCAAGCACTTATCCATCTGCGCCACTGGAGCTGATGATTTACAGCCACTCTTAACTAAATGTAAATAGACACTCCGGAGTTTTTATTCCATAGTAAGGGCAATTCATACAATACATTTAAACTGAGCTACTTTAATACCATCTCCGAACTTTCTACCACGACTCTGCTGTTCTTCGGCTGGTTCTTCCTGTATATGTTGATTCACAGATGTCTCTTCCAGTCAGCGGAGAGTAATCCCAAACCAATGGCGCTGTCTCAAACTATACCTACCTCTTCCGGTTTGTCTGATTTGTCGTTGTGTTTTCTGACTTGTTAATTTGTTTGTCTGATTTGTCGTTGTGTTTTCGACTTTGTCATTGTGTTTTCTTACTTGTTATAATGTTTTGTGAATTGTTGTTGTGCTTTCTGAATTGTTATTTTGTTTTTTAGACTAGCATTTGCGTTTGTAATTTGTTATTTTGTTTTCAGAATTGTGATTTGTTTTGCACTTCTCTGCCACCGTATAATAGTGACGTTTTTTGTTACTGCATTGACCAGTCGGTCTGCCCACCTGACAGAACGAGCCCAGATACAACTCACAGCCCCTTATGTTTACATGTGTAATATAAGCATGACATCCTTCACAACAACAGCAACAGTGTGACATTAATTGCACAATTAGTTAGTTAAGCACAATGCAAAAGCCTGTGCCACTGCCGACTCAATCATCAAGTTAAAAAGGCCACGAGGAACTGTACAACAACTTTGCACTGATTTACAGGCCATTACTGCTCAGCTCACTAGGCCCATCATAGGGGTAAAAGCATCATCCGTGCTGAATAAAATGCACTATGTGTGAGTTAGTATCAGACGGTTTTTGAAAGAAGCAAGATCACAGCATTTAGGGAATGATGAGAGAGAGGCGTCAGAGAGATGAAAACAATCTTCAGCTGACATCCCTTCTCGCACAAACAGCGTGATGAACAATGATGAACACTCACCAAAGGATCGCCGATGTTAGCTGGATAACGAATGCAATGTGGATGATCATTCCTACAGTTGAATATTTTGTGAAAATATACTGGGCCGTATGACAGAAATCCTCTACCCTCCGCCGCGAGCCCGAAGCGGCTGCCGTAATGACGACATTGCAAAGGGCGTGTCTTCCATTGAGAAGCGATGTCAGTTTTTATATATAACTTGTGAACAAAACGACAAATCTCTTTAATATAATCTGGGGGAAACATCAACAACAGAGAACACGAAAAAAAAAATTTACAAACACAATATTGGTATTTAATTTGGCTTTTAAAATGTTTTTGTTCATATGCTTTTATGTTCTTTTTATTTTTTGTTCTATATAGGCCCGTAATACTTACCTATGCAACTACAGTCGTGGAAAAAGTAGAACAATACCAATATTTACGAACGGTAACTTTTCATATTAATGTGTCACCACAGGGGGCCGCTCCACACTGCAATGAGAGCCTTTAGAATTAATCCCAGATAATTGAAGAAAAAATCATACATTTACAGTCTGTTGCCTAATGAAAGGATACTTTCAGTTTTCATCAGAGGCCTATAAAAACAGAAATAAATATTAATTAAATTTTTTAAATGGTGTTACACAGACATTAAATGACACTTAACAGACTTTAGAGGCGACATAAATTGAATAATAATGGATTCTTTTAATTATATATTAAGTAAAAACACTAAACAAAACGTGTTAATATATTTAATTCATTGTTTTAATTTTTATAAAATGCCACTAAGTCAGTAAGTGTTTTGATACCACATAAAGGACATGGTTTATTATGGCAGGACCAGTGCATTTATCATCGGTTCTACATGAGGATCTTGAAATAGCCTGGCTATGCAGTCACATCAACGATCCTATTTTGGGAGGTCCCGGGCGCGGACACACACGTCCTACTACGATGAAGTATTGGCTTATGAATATTAATTACGTCGAGTGACGTCTACCCGGTAGGTCAAACCATCAGGCGGTTTAACTAAAGATTAAAAATGAATTAGGGTACGTGAATGGACACTCCTGGAGGGTTACTAAGCAACGTCAGCCTGGCTTAATTAATATTCATAAGCTAAGCCTTCACCATAGTAGTTTTCTGATTCTAGTCCCAGACACAATTCATTTCGCATGTGGTCGAAGGAACCAGTCGGTGGCGCTTTAGCGCAACATGTACAAATATGATATGTCTACAACAGCCAGATGGATAATTCATTAATAACGAGCACATGGGGTCGCTCTGGCTAAAACAGCATAACGTCACATGGAGAATTTCAAAAGGCTTGCGCATTAACGAGGCTCATTGTTCCACCGCGTAATATTGACTTTTTCCCTTCGTCCACTTTTGCGCAAAGGGAGAGTGTTGTAAGCGGTCCCTGTGGATATACTGTGTCTTCATGAGGAGTTGAGCGCAAATAAGGGGGCGGGTGATGATAATGTGTGAAGAGTGGCAGCAACTTCTCACTGCACGGCAACATTTTCCGTTCTTCTTCAGGCGATATGCCCATTCTTTCTAAAGAAGCTCCAAGGAGGAAGGCTGCTGGACATGGTGAAAATGACAGGTAAAAAGTGAGACCCTGGTGGTTGGATAGGCTCGCGGGCTCTTCACCGGACGTGTCGTGTCGTTATTTCTCATGTTATAGGCGCTGGGATGATCGTGTTTCCGAGATATGCCGATGGTCTATTGCAAATGTCATAGATTAACACAGACTAACACACTTTTAACGCACGATCACGCAACCTGAAGCAGAATTCAGCAACAATTGAGAGTGTGTCAGAGGCTGGGTCTTTGCGGGCAAGGTGAGTTTTCCTTTTATTCAACTGGCCTACAAAGTCCCAGTTTTCGGCCCATGTGACCATCTCTGTCAATTGACCGTGCTGAATATGTGTGTGTGTGTGTGTGTGTGTGTGTGTGTGGTGGAGTTTATCTCCAGTATCTAGGCTATAATAATAAAGAACTGAAACAGAACGCAATAAAATAGAATAGGCTACTTAAAGATTCTGTTCTATTCTGTGATAATGGGATGGTTGAAAACATAAAAATGGTTAAATTTCCGTTCTTCACACTTTTTTAAAACTTTCTTAAACCTATCATTTTTATGATTTAAATGTAGAATTATTTATGTACTTAAAAATATTTTATATATGAGATCTTCCTAATGTTGTATAAAGCAAATCTGCAGGACCGGGCAGTTTTAGCAATGTGGTCTGAGAAATTCAGCTTATCATCAATCACTCCAGGGTTGTTTTTGTATGGAATGCCAATCCTGCCATAATTAGAAATAAAGAAAGAAAGAAATGTAAAAAAGCAAAAATAAATAATTGATTGGCATTCCGTATTTTTGAAGGAGTTATGGTTGATGAGCCTAACTGGATGGTGAAATTCTGATAAAGTGATGGGTTTGTTGAAACCACAAGCAGTTCTGTCTTCGCCAGGTTGAGTTGAAGGTGATGGTCCGTCATCCAACAAGAAATATCTGTTATATTTTATATAGTATATAGTTATATTTATGTTATGTTTAGTTATATTTTTCAGTATAAAACCTAGATAGGCGTCATATTATTATTATTCTTTTTTCTTTTTTACTTTTGTTATTCTTTTTTCTTTTTTTTAAATGTAGAACTGTTTGTGAATATTGAAGTGGTATATTAAAAATATTTTTTTACAATCAAAATGTAGAAAATATCTAAAATAATAAAAGAAAATAATAAAATATTTAATTTGCTATATTTCACCTTAGCACCTAAAATAGGGATTAAAAGCGTGCATTTAAAAATACCCATAATACGATCGCAATATACAGGTTAAAAAATACATTTGTTTTACGAATTATTTCACAAAAACAATTTCATATTTACTTATTTTCACATTTACCAATGATTAGCAAGTCGTTACCGTTTTACCAGACCGTTTCTCAGGAGTTTGCATTAAGCACCTGCTTTGACTTCAATTAATATTATAATATTTTATTTGCATAATTTGATTATAACAAGCAGGGCACACAAAGTTTTGTACTGTGAAAAATCTGCCTGAATGATCAAGAGGTGCTTGTAATTTGTAAATGGCTGTTGCTGTAAACCGCTGAAAATTTAAAAAAAAAACAGTTTATAATTTGAAATCATTTAGTCATTTAATGCATTCTAATAATAAGGGTCTGACATTATGGTTTGCCCTTGTTCAGGGAGAGGAGGGATTTTATAGTCCACACTGACCATTACTTTAGGCTTTAGTTTTAATCTTTAGAACCATGGTATAAACCTTAAACATTTCTTGAAAAGCTGGCAGATCCCGGAAAAAGAGACTGTGAATAAGTCAGCAAGAAAAGTGAGGGACTTTTAGGGGCAGCTGTGTTATACTGACCCAGTCATAATGCCCCTAAAAATCCTTATTGCTCTTGCAATGCTCAGCGATTAACTGCTCTTAAATCAGTCCTAACATAACCGCTCCCACAGGATCTGCAATATAGTGATTAGATCCAAAATGTGCTTTCCTTTTGGACATCATCCTTTAGAGAACAGTGTTTATAGAATCTGAGGTTTGTTACTACAATTGGTTACGTTTCAGGTACTAAAAATGTTCCCATAAAATCCAGATCCCAATGCTTGTGATCTGTTGCGCGTTCAAATCAGTAACTCTTAGGTCAAATATATCTGCTTCTCTCATTCACGGTGCATTTTGACATCTTGGCATAGGGCCATCCGTTGTCTCCCGGGCAAGCAGTGAGGGGAATTTTTGATGTGAATGGGGAAATACCAGTGGCGTTGCTCAGAATGTATGTTCATTTCTAACCGATTGTTCTCCTGCTGTTAGTTTCATACAGGTAGAGAAAGAGAATGAGAATGACAGGTAGAAAGTAGTGGCAGCGTAACTGAAACAGAAATAGTGAAAGAAGTAAAGGGTGGGAAAGAAAGAAAAGAGACAAGGCAGCATGGTTGGAGCAAGAGAAACAAAGCTAGCTGATGACTCAGGCTCATACGCTTCATATGTCGGGAGGGAGGGAGGGATGGAGTGGAGGATGAGGAAGGGAGGGAGGGAGAAATGACTCATCAGAGCATGTGGAATCTCATATGGCTATCACAGGATCGAGGTTCTCTCTTCCTCTTCGCTGCTGCCTGCCTGTTCATGACTCTGTCTGAGGTAAGTGAAGACTGCCCACTCTGTCTGTCTCCAGCAACAACCTGCGTCCTCAGGGAAAGCAAATTGCAGTGCACAATGATCCTCGAGAGCTGCTGGCCTTTCAGAGAGACTGGCAAGAAAAACACAACTTTTGAACGTCTTTGGATAAGACCATTTTGGATGGGCTGAAGTAGAACTGCATATGTTTTTACATGTCATCTATGAACTGTAGAGCAAGGCCCCCCTACATACAGTGGTCCCAAAAATTATTTGGCCATAGAATGTGTAATTGAATGTATGACAAAATTACTTGACCTTTTCTCTGAACCATTTTCACAATTTTTGCAATGACTATTAAGCAACTGCTGTCCGAGTGATTGGCTGCATCCAAAATCCTAGGCAGCTGACTTGTTGCCTCTGCCTTATCGACTTTGTAGGCAGTGTTTGTGTGCAAATGTACCTAATGAAACTGATTTTGGACGGGCTTCTGATGCAGCATAATGGTCCAATGATCTACAACAAAACAGGGTGATAACTAAGCCAAAAACTCGATTACTACAATACTAATTTCTTGCTAGAAATTCAATCAAAAGTTGAAAAAGTTGTTCAGAAACACACAATAACAGCAACTTTCAGATGCCATTTTATTATTTTTTTAGCTCAGCTGTCACAAATGCGACCAGGGTAGTGGGATTTCATAGGCAGTGAAGGATGTGACACGATCATAGGTTTCGGACAAGCATTGTGTCATTCGTATGCTGCCTGCGGAGTCAACATTTTTCAACTTTTCGATGCAACCATTGCTTGTGGATAAATGAAATAGGGTTAACACAAGTGTAGCATAACTACAGGTGTAGTTCATCACATTATGAACATGTTCCACAAAGTTTTTCAACCAGAGCAATATTATGTGTATTTTCAACATTATATCTATTGTTTTATCATTTGAGAAAACTTACTGAAATGTGTTGCTGAAAAGTATGCTTGATCTGTATTTTGTAATTCCACTT